TCTCTGAATTCGTGATTTAAAATAAGAGAGCTGAAAGACTGATTCACAGCATCCCCCTTCAAAAAATACTGTATTAAATAAATTAGTCCATCTCTTTCCACATTAATCCTGCAACAGAATAGTACTTTGAACTCTCAAGCATCTCAGGTTTCCCAAAACAGACGGTAAATAATCACCCAGAGATCAAGTGATGGGTAGAGATACGCCATTAAGGAAAATTGTACTGTGTATGTAGGTGATTTTATACTGATGATGATAATGGCCTACTACCTTTATACAGCTTTCAACAAACCAATTTTATTTCTTCATGTTCTGGTTCCACTCATGCCAAGAGCTGGTGGTAAGAGGACTGCCATAAATGATTTTTCTATTTTCAAGGTCCCCTTTGTCAATGAAATCTAGTACCATGCAAACAGCCCTTCCTCAATACACACATCCCTTCATATATGTGTATGTGATGACTATCTGTAGATAGCTGCACCACAGTAAGTATTCGGCCCTGCTGCTGCCTCATGGTGAGCACGTGCTAAGAGAATAGAACTGAGATCTAAGGAGGAGTTTGGGTTGTAACCTCTACAGAAGCAGACTGCCAGGCCTTTCTTCCTGTGTCCATGGGGGGTTCAAACTGCTAACCTTTAGCTCAGAGGAGGAGAGACTAGGCTTTCTATTCCCATAAACAGTTACAATCCCAGAAACCCGGGGTGCAGCACCAGGGGGGGGGAATATGATACTATGAGTCAACATTGACTTGACAAGAGAAAGTTTGGGTTTTTATGGACCTAATTCTCTGGAGTTTTCTGTCCCCCAACTTAGAAACAATGTTTTCAACCATTGTTGCTCCCGATAGATAAAACTTTTTAGATCTTTCTGTATCCTGGTTATTCTCTTCTGAAGGCATTCCTCTTTGCAAGATCCTGGGAATGTGGTAGTCAGAATTAGACTTAGGCCCATTCTATTCTAAATGAATATGATCTGAAGTTTGTTCATACAAACAGAGTCAATAGAAGGCCATGTATTTCAAAGGTAATCAAATATGATGAAGTAAATTATAAGCATTTTCAGAACACTATACAAATAAGGGATTAAAAAAAATACTTGTACCTTGATGAGACTGAAGTATTGAATTGTATGATAGGTGAATTATATGCTAATAGAACTGTAAGGAAAAAACAAAACCAATATACCCATTTAACAAAAGGACAATTCATAGGACAGAATTGGTTGAAAAAAGCATATAAAACTCCCTAGTCGCCATCTAGCTGAGAAGTAACAAAGCCCACATGGAAGAAGCACACCAGCCTGTGTGATCATGAGGTGTCGAGGGATCAGGTATCAGGCATCAAAGAACAAAAAAAATCATATCATTGTGAATGAGGGGGAATGTGAAGTGGAGACCCAAAGCCCATCTGCAGGCAACTGGACATCCCCTTACAGAAGGGTCGTGGGGAGGAGACAAGCCAGTGAGGGTGCAGTGTAGCAATGATGAAACATACAACTTTCCTCTAGTTCTTTAATGCTTGCTCTCCACCAACCCCCCTCACCACTATCATGATCCCAATGCTACCTTACAAATCCGGCTAGACCAGAGGATGTACACTGATACAGATAGGAACTGGAAACACAGGGAATCCAGGACAGATGAATCCCTCAGGACCAGTAGTGAGAGTGGCGATACTGGGACGGTGGGGTAGAAAGGGGAACCGATCACTAGGATCTACATCTAATTCCCTTCCTGGGGGGCATATAACAGAAAAGTGGGTGCAGGGAGATGTTGGACAGTGTAAGACATGACAAAATAATTATAAATTATCAAGGGTTCGGGAGGGAGGGAGGGGGGAAAATGAGCTGATACAAAGGGCTCAAGTAGAGAGCAAATGTTTTGAGAATGATGATGGCAACATATGTACAAATGTGCTTGACACAATGGATGGATGTATGGATTGTGATGAGTTGTACGAGCCCCCAATAAAATTATTAAAAAAAACAAAACTTCCTAGTCAACTATTTATTAATAGATAATTAAAGTAAATGACAGGGACCTTAGAACTATGGAATTAATTCTGTGAAACAAAATTCTGGTGATTTATCTCTTCATATACAAAGTTATCTAAATGCATTCCTAACTGATGCTTCTTTCCATGGTATTCATCAATATATTTAAATATATTTTAAAGTATTTAGATATAAAAAGTTTGTTTTTATTTTAAGAGTCTGAAAGTGGTTTTAAATCTTTACTTATTATATGGTTTAAGTCATTTAACTCCATTTTGTTGTTGCTGTTGCCTTAGTTGTTTCATTCACTAGGAAACAAGCAAGTTAACTTCTAGCTGGGTGCACAGGCAGCCTGAATAAGCACATTCAAAAGGGAAGCACGCTCCTCCTTTTTACTGGACAATACTACAAAGTATAGTCAATAAGCTTCAACTAAATTGTCTCTGCTATTCCTTCACTCTCTACCGTTCACTCAATCCTTACTCATCTGCCCCTATAGGATGGAGCAGAACTGCCCCTGCGGGTTTCTGAAACTTTTAAATCTTTCAGGGAAGCCGACAGCCTAGTGGTCATCCCACCCCACCCCCAGCCCCAAAGAGCAGCTGGCAGCTTTGAACTGCAGGCCTTGCCGTCAGCCGCTCCCTGTGTCGCCCACTGTGCCACCGTGCCGCCTTTCCTAGCAGTTAGGTGAGTACACAAATTTGAGAAACATTGAATTTGGTCGTTTTCATACTTCTAAAACTCTAGAATTAGATTACTTTCCTTCATACTACCTCGCTGATGGCACCTTACCTTTCTCAATATAATTCTTGGGGGCCCAGGCAGGATCCCCATCTGCATATGGATCATTATACTGAACTACTGCAGCTTCCTCGTCTTCATAATCCACTGGAGGAGGTGGTGGTGGAGGTGGGGAGTCGTCAAACAGGGGAATGTCATCTGGTGGAGGTGGAGGTGGTGGAGTAGGACTGTCAGCAACTAAAAGGATTCAGGCAATTAATGTCAATCAGAAAATGGTCTCAAAGGACATTCTTAAGTTTTACAAGAGTGCTAACTCATATATAGCATGCACTATAATAAAACATGCAATGATTAGAAATAAAAGCTTGGTGTGTTAAACTTATGCCTAGTAGCATTTAAGAATAATTCTGAAACATTAAAATAAAGGCATTAGGAAGTACTACAAATGAGTCAATGCAAAGGTTAGGAGACAATGTCTTTTTCCATAATGATTATGGGAGTCATTTCCTTATTCCAAGGTTCATGACAGGACTCTTTTTCGACACTGAGATTATTTAGATTACTGTCTAAAACAAGCCACATGTCACAATGGTCATTTGGACTACAGCACTGGTTTTTTATCATTATATTAATAGTTTGGTAGCCTTTCATCAGGCTCATTCCTGCCCCTAATTTTTACTTTAGTTAGAAAAATTAGAAATAAATAAGGTAGGTGGATTTTTGTTTCTTGTTCACGTGGGTTTTCTCATGTTTAACTTAAAATTTAACAAGATTGACGTTAAAAATTAAATAATTCCTGAGTAGATAATCTCATTAAATATATTCTAAAATGCTTATTTTCATATTTACTTGTTAGTGCAGAAATCAAGCTAAGGTTTTTGCATTATTGCTAGGAAAACAAAGCTACAGGATGAGGGGAGACTAGATCACAGGATCCCATTTTGTAAGAATACACCTACAATTAAATTAAAAAATAAAGTGAGGGAAGATTGGATTCAAAATATAAATAAATTCACTTATGTCATGCAACATAAAACAACAAAAAAAGGATTAATATCACAAATCCTAAATGCCTGCAGTATGTGTATATATGCTTAAATACTCAGTGGAATAATAAAGGGGAAAATGTCAATCTAGAACTAGGAACCCTGAACTATTATGCTAAACCAAATCAGTTGCCTATGAGTCTATTCCAACTTATGGCGACAAATACGTAGCACAGTAGAACTGTGCTTCGTAGAGTTTTCAATGGCTGGTTTTGTGAAAATATTACCAGGTAATAAATGCATCCCATCTTTAGGAATTCAGAGCCAACTCATGTCTAATTTACAGTTCTGATCCACAAATGTCTTTAAAAGTGCAAGAGACGATAACAATGACTGCCACACACTGACTACAGGAGCTAAATGGTTAGATGTTGGAGAGCGTTCACACTACAAACAGAGTAACTCACAAGCCGATTTCAAGGCCTGTTTATGTGAACAAGGGAGAAAAAAATGTAAGTATCATCTATCTGTAAAAATACAGGTTTTCAAAGTTTACTCTAACACTGAGAATCTAAATCGCCAGATAAAACACTTTCAGATAATTGACCTTCAAGTCCGTGATTTCTATTTTATCTTTGAGAGGGATATGAAAAACGACTATTTTAAAGACCAACCCTGGGAGGTGATCACACACACTCCAGTAGCTATCAAACAGCTATCTACAATTTATTTTTGTACCAAATGCCTACATCCATTTTATCTTTGCTTATCACAAAGTTGTGTAGCACGCTTAAGAGGTCCCCACCCTAACATCAATTAGCCATAGCTCATAACCTTAATATGACCTATTGTTAAGTTACACATGCTTGTCTGAAAACCAGAAGTGCATTTCTATGTGATTTATACTCATTAATTTGTTCCACTTTCTGTATATTCAACTGTTGTGAATTCACATAGGTTTATCTTCAAATTATGTACACAGCGTAAGGAGTTTGGTCAAAGTAATTCTTTGTACAAGATCCTCTAGCAGCAAGTGTTAAGTAGATAGTTCAACACTGCTTTCTGATGTGAATCATAAACAGATATGAACACAGTGGCGTTTTATCGCTCATTCCTTCACATGTAACCACCCTGATTAATATGTTACCTGCTACAGGCATTCACAACGACCAGCTTTGAGTGCCATGAGAAACCAACTGTTTTAACGCACCAAAAAAGACCACATACATTGGAATACTCTGAAAGTGGTGACAGTTATCACCAACCCTCCTAATACACTTTTCAAAAAGTAGATGCCATCTTGTGATGGAAAATCAGTGTCAGGAGAATAACTGGCCTTGTTGGGAAAAGTGAATTAAAACACCATGTTTGCCTAAATAATGAACATCAATACTAGATGTCTAGCAAAACAGAATGAACAAAAAATGAATCAATAAACTTTGAACCCACAAATGTGATGTTTCATTATGGCTATTTAAAAACACTTATGAAATTTCACAGACTTAGCTTTTAAAGTCTTGCAGCAATAAGGACTAGCAATTTAATTATACTCATTAATTTTAAGAAAAGAGCTACTTATTTTTACTAAAGGCGTAAAACCTATTAAAGGTTTCAAACATATTAAAGTAAGGTTAATTTACACAAAATAAGTTCATTTTGAAGTTACAATTTTCATATGGCCACTAGATCAGATCACATACTTTTTAAGGTTGAGGGCTGTGTCTTAAACTATCTTTATTCTTTCCAGAGCCTTGCACATAACACCCTACACACAAACAAGGCTTGAGGCAGTGAGGGGATGGGGAAAATAGCACAACACAGTCAGCAGAAGCTGAAGAATAGAATTCCCCTCCAACAGTCTTCTTAAAAAAATGACTTGCCAAGTGGATTAAGCATTTGTTCAAATCATACTGAGATTATATTCAAAGTGATGGTCTCAAATAAAGTTAAACCACCTTACCATCTTCACCTTTACAATGGCTACAATGGCATGACAGAGCTGGTTCAATCGTGATGGTAATTTTGCATTTTGCTTACACCCACTACAATCACTTAACTAGGCCTACATGTCTTCTGGCACGTCAAAAGTATTAAGACAGTAAACGAGTTTATCCTGATTAAACCCATATACTCAAAACGATTTCTGAAATCATTCAGCCTGACCTTCAGTCAAAGACAAAGGGCCCTCGACTGATGAGCAAATGGATAACGTGGATATAATTTACTTAATCTTGAAGATTCCTTCTTATCCTATTAAGATGCCTTTTACAGACGTGCAAAAGGAGCCTGGTGCTGCCATGGGCTATATACCAAGCTGCTAACCAGGAAGTCCTTGGTTCAAACTCACCAGCCTCTCCTGGGGAGAAAGATGAGTCTGTGTGCTCCCATGATGGATTTAAAAGTCTCGGAAATCAGAGAGGTAGAGCTACACTGCCCTATATAGGGGTAAATGAGGTTCTTTTTTTTTTTTTTAATGGAAAGCTTTCTCTAAAATATTTCTAATTTAAAGGGGAGAGGGAGAATCCTGTCCCAAGTTCACAGTAAGTGTAATCTCACAGAAAAACTAATCTATCTTAATAAGTGTGTTGGAATTAGAATGTTTTCTAGCTAATTCCCTAAATAATTAAAGAAAGTAGTAGTTTCTGTACAATTTGAACTTTTGTGTTTGAGTGTGTTTTAAGAATCTGCAAAGAACAAGTTCCTGTCATAGGTTATTTAACTGCCTAAGGCTGCAGTCTGAAATTTCCCTAGGGCGTAATCATGCACACAGAGGACACACCGAAGACCCTGCTCTTCAGTTTCCGTAACAGCTGCACCTATCTTCAAGGGAAGATTAGCTTCTCAGGAAAGGTAAGGAAAATGAGGACTCATCAGCCATGCATGCGAGAGGGAGACAGCCTCTACTCTCGGGTAGCTCCCTTTCCCACACTTACTGTTTTCCTGCACCCTGGCCACGAAGCCTGTGAGAGGTATCTGTGGAGTCAACTGAGGCATAGGGGGAGGGGGTGGAGCAACAGAAACTGGTAGCCGACAGCATGGTATGGGGAAGTGAGACAAAGGAAAGGAAACAAACAAGAAGCAGAAGTCAGTTACAAGGACCACAAACACAAGTATGCCAAGAACAGTTTGCAAATGAAACAAAACAAAGCAAAACAACAAAACAAAAACCTGCACAAGTTTATTTCCCCATGGCATATGTAATAAGGCAGCCTTGTGCTTAGCTAGTTGGTTCATTTTAGTCAAGAACAAATACACTTAGTTTAATCCTGATGTTATATTGTTTGGGGAAATTTTTAATTTATCATCATATCTACTTGCCTGTAATGTGATTTTTAAATTCTAAGGAAAGACTTATACAATGAAGTTATTTTTATATTTGAAGTAGACAATTTTAAGTTTAAAGGCATCACTCCTAAATCTACTAGACTAGAATAAGAGTGATCAAAAGGATCCTGCTGTCAGGTAAGTATTGGACTGCAAACAGCAAAGTCACTGGTTCAAATTCACCAGTCACTCTGTAGGAGGATGAGGCTGTCTGCTCCCGTGCAGATTTAGCTATAACCTTGGAAACCCTGGACAAGCCCACTAGGCACTGAAATTGACTCCATGGCAGTAGGTACATTATGTTTTTCTGTTTGTTTAATTGTTCACTGAAGTTCATGAGTCATGAGAGATGAAAAGTAGCCTTTTAACGTTGTTAAGGAAAGGATTGGCCATAAGTTAAAAGTTTTTGTATTGAAATACTGCTAATGAGTTACCAGGTAGCTTGAAACACATTCCAGCCTCTTTCAGGAGAGTACAGAATTTATAGGAAAATGATACTAAATGCTCATTATGAGCAGTAAACGTACAAAAACTTTTAACAAACTGAAAGGCAAATCCACATGCTCACCACTCCGTCCATTTTAACAAGACAGTAATCAAGGAAAAGTCAGTGGGACTGGGTAGCAAAACTTGGTGTGCCGGTGGTCACCAAGCAGTGACATTAAATTGACCTACTTACATATATATTCCTAAGGAATAGTTAAAGGATGTTTCAGTTAATCAAATGTATAAAATTTGGTAATATAAAATTTTTTAAGAAGTTTCAAGAACCAAAGAAGCAATAACGTAAAACAAAACAATACATATGCATTAACATTCACTGGGTAGCTAAAACAACATTGAATTCACTATGAACTTGGTCCTAGTCATCCTGAAACTCTGTATATTAAAAAAGATTCATAGAGGTTTTGATGTTAAAAAATGAAACAAAACAAAACAAACTCCCCAAAATTCTACCAGAACTTTTAGGAAACCCCCTCGTCCTCGCCATGCTGGTTAGTACATAAAGAAAAGGTTAGCTGTGAAGGTATCATCTCACCACCACCACATTTAGACAGAGGGAAGTGTGCACATCAAAACACTAACAACATCTTACATACATCTAACTACACCACCAGCTCTCAGACTAAAGGATGATGAAATGTCACAAAATGTAATCAAATATTTAAACTTTGAAGCCAAATTTGCTTTACAACTTCCAAAGAATTCAGACATTCAGTAGTGAACTTGTGTTCTTTGAGAATTAAACAAGTCACTAAGAATTGCTAAAATAAAAGTACACAAACTTATTATGGTAGGAGTCGCTGGGTCAATGGAGTGTCTGAGTGAGGAAAAGAAGCCCAACGAACACTTAGTCATCTAAAGAGCCGTGAGAACATGAAACCTTCAGGGCATAAAATCCAGTGAGGCCAATAAGTTGATATTCTGTGCAGTATTCAGATGTTACCCCCTTTCATCACCGAAAGGGGACCAGGAAGAATGTGAAGTCCGTGCCTTGGTAGTAACTTGGGTCACATCGTAAGTCTGGAAAGGTTATCTGATTTGAGGGAAGTATCTGTGAATTTTTGTATGTCTTAAGTTTAAATTCTCAAAAAACGTAGGCTATAACACCATAGATCTAGAACCCTAAAATTGAAATGAAGATTCAGAGAACATTCCCTAGTTCTGCTTTAAAACACGATGCATGTTCAGAATGTGCATTATAAATAAAAGAACTTCCACCAACGTTCTATGCAAACGTGGAGTGTCACGATGAGGCAGTGTTTGTGAGTGGACTACGATGAGCACGTGTGCAGCTCTAGAAAGCAGTTACAAAAGCGACACGGGGACGGTGTCTTTCCAAGCTCTGCCCCAGTGATCACCACACTTTGAGCCAAGAATAAAACCCAGAAAATAGGTTCATTTCAGATCTCAGTTTCTGTTCCTTTTTTGGATTAAGCATTTTAGTATGTAAGTGGAAATTAAGGACTACCCTACGCAATTCAAGCTACAGTTTTTTAATCTTAACAGCTCTTAAACATCCATTGCAGTTAGTGCTGAGATGTGCGATTTGAGGTGAATAGAAATCAAAAGGAAATCCTTCCCTGTTAGAATTATTCAGCTAAAGTAAGCAGGCGATAAAATCTATTTCAATGGTTTTGAACTCATTTAACTATAGGTTCACAAGTGATAGCCACCAATTGTGACACTGTCTTAAATAAAATGTTTGTATCTTTAACTACTTGAAACATGCCAATAAATATGTTTGTATCTTTAACTACTTGAAACATGCCAATAATATTACTTGATTTGATTCATTTAAGTGACTTTTTGGGTTCTCTAATTCGATTAATGGTAATAAAAATACTATGTTAAAGTAAAATGCCAATTGAATTTCAATAAGGGAAACACACTTGTTAAATCTGAGTTGGGGGTGAAGAATGTGATAAGCAATTCTTCTGAAAATGGTATGAGATTCAAGGTCCAACTTTCTAAAGCAGAAACATGAAATAGTACAGTTTCAATTGTTGTCTATCACAGGCCAGATGAACAGTTACAAGTAATTTCCATCTAAAGGGAGCTCCACCGTTAAATGCCTGCAAAGCACCAGCTTACTTGAATTCTGAGAATAGAGTGGACCTCCATTCACATGAGGCTGAGCAGAGAACTGAGCCGTCACAGAGGGAGTCCGTCTGTATCCACCAGAAGATGCCGAAGAAGTGGTAGAGTTGTGCCGAGAAATCTGCCTGGTCATCGTGCCATACTGAGAACCAGGGGCTGAGCCCGGAGCTGCTGGAAAGCACCAGTCAAAGCAACCAACAGAGAGACGTGAGCACTGTACATCACCTCCGAGCGCGGGGCCAGACAGCGGCCCTCGGTAACCCAGGACTGCTTTCTAAAGCCCACAGCACAAAATCAAGAAAGATGTCAACTGAGAAAACAATAGCTCTCCCCAGTTAGTTAAAAACAGAAGGAAAAACAGATACTGTATGGAAAGTAAGTTACAGTCTTAAGCCTTTTAAATGAAACAACCCCAAAGGTTATTTTACTAATGTTATTTTTTTTCTGCACCATTAAAAAAATACTTAAGGTTTTACAGGTAGTCCCTGGCTTACTACAGGGTTGCAGTCAAAAAACCTGACTCTGGCAGAAGTAACCTACTTCTTTCTCCTTTTTGTTTTTATGTTTCATTATTATTGCCTTTCCTTCCATTATCAGCATCTCTATAAATCTGCTATTACATATAATAAACATACAAATATATTTTAACATTACATGTAGTGTGTATTACTAATGATGAGATACACACGGAGGGAAGAAGAGGAGTCTCTTCAGTGTAGGTCATAGTAGCTCAAATATAAGTCAGGGACTACCTGTATATATAAACTGTGCCTTCCCCACAAAATAGGTACCAAAAAAGTTAGACAAAAAAATCGGTAACAAAAAGGGGAGAAAATGTGAGTTTTTGAGGCAAGAAAGTATGAAAATTTTATTTGACTTACAAACTTCTTCCTTTCTCAGAAGTAAAGAATTTATCTAGTCTCATCTGGGCTAAATTTTAAAAATTTAAGCTGCTAATAGATTACTTCCCACATCTATTATTTTTATATGCTTTTGAATTTTTACTATTACCAGCAGTTATTGCTAGCAATACATTTTAGTACAATCATTTAGCAATAATTTCTAGTTTCAAAGCACTTATAAATGTGCAATATGTTGTATCTCTGCACATTTCCTAATGAACATACTTTTCCTATTACCTTATTGGGGAGTAAACGTTAAACTGGGGACATTTTTTGAATGTGTAAAATATGAACATCTTATAAGTTTGTTCTGGAAAAATCCCATTATCTTTCCAACTGTTAAAGAAAACTTTTCAAGAACAAATCTTCTCTCAGGAAAATTGCCCTTCTCCATTTGTTAAGAATTTTTATACAAGAACACCATGGACTCCATTTCATTTATGTGGAATACATGCTGGAAAGATTGCAACAAAACTACTACCTAACAGATAACATTTGCATATACTCTGGACAACCAGGTATCTTCGAACACTGTGGTGGATGAAGTCTGTATACTGTCATCAGCCCACAGGTTGGCTTCCATGCATGTTCTTCTAATGGGATGTCACATGGAAAACTATTTCCCCAGAGTTTTAAAGCTAAAAAAGGGTATTGCTTTGTAGCTGGGGGGAAAAAAAAGGAAGAAAATCTCATTATCTTTCTCTATACTAAAACAACTTCTTTTCCATATTACACTCAAAGCAATCAGTTGCATTTTTAATTATTATGCTTATCATATAGCAAAAACATCAATAATTCAATGTCATCTTTATCAACATTTCAAAAGCTTAATGTTCAAACGTTAATACAGTTAAAGCCTCTAAAGTTAACTACATTTACCAAGTTAACGTCTTAATTATCTTCTTTGCCTAAAGATTCCAAATCATGACAGACTTAAGAAAATGACAGCATCCTAGTTTATCATTTAGTTGTCTAACCTCTCCGCGAGGTCATACGAATCATTAGGTAAAACGGTGTATTTGTAAAGGTGGCTGATATGGAACATTTTTAGAGCTCCCGCGCCATAGTCAGTCACTAATTATTTGAATCGCTACCGTGTTCATTTAGTTGATAAAAATAGATTTTTAAAAGAATCATCTAATCAAAACCCTTCAAGAATGAATAACCTTGGACAAAATTTTCTAGAGAGCTAAGACAAGTGTTTAAACATATTGAATAGAAATCTCTGTATAATGTTTTTCAATTTCTAAGATTTACACAATAAAATAAAATGAAATAGATTTTTGGTGGTTCAAAACAGAAAGCCAACTGTTTGCCAATTGTCAAAACTATTTCCATGAAAAATTTTAATGTCATACAATGGAATAAATCATAATACCAAAGGACACATAATATGTATACAATAATTTAAAGAAAAATGCCAATGCAAGAAATAGAATATTATCAAAATCATTAAAGTTTCCTCTGTGCCTTGCCTTAAACACTCTTTCTTTATAGATATAGCCATAAACAATATACAGAGGTTTGCAAATTTATGAACCTTATGATGGAAAGATTTTGTGGGTTTTCTAGTGACCTATTCTATTCCTTCTATGCTAATTTTGAAGACACATCCATGCTAACAGATCATTCATCTTTATCATTATTTACATATAAATATTGCACAATTTATTTAGCCCTCTACCTTTACTAGATACCTGAGTTACAGATCCCTATTTTTACTATTAATAATACCATTGTGACCCTTCCTAAGCACGGTTCCTATAGCACAGTGATTCTCACACTTTGGTGCTGATCACAGCTTCACTGCGACAGCCAATTGTAGCAACTACGCTTGGTTTCTTTCTAGGGTTTCTGATTTAACATGTGCGGATTAGGACCTGAAAACGGACGTTTCTAACCAACTCCCAGTTGGTGCTGATTTTGTTGGTCTAGGAATCGCACTTTAAAAGCCAATGTTCTAGAACTTTGAAACTGTTTGGTTTTAAGGACGATTCTCAAAAGCTAGAGAACGCAAAAGAGGTTTTGTTGATGCTATAGATATAGTGGAAGTTAAAACTGACAACAGCTTTAAAACATATGACTACACAAGCACACATTCCATTAGCCAACAGAACAATGACTATCACGAACCATATCACTACCTCCGGAAAATTCTGCTGTACACTTGGGACTGAATGAGAATGAAAACGCATTTCATGCCTTAGTTGTTATTATCATGAATGGAATTCTGACCTCACAGACACCATAAAAGGACCTCAGGGTCCCCGAGGGGCCCACTGGCCATGTTTTGAAAACTGGCACTCTAGAAATACAACTGATACATCTATAGCAGGCACAGGTTTGATTTGACTAAGCAATAAAAAATTGCAATAAAAAATTACTTTCCAAAGTGAGTTTACCAACTAATAAACTTCCACCAGCAGAGTATTCTTCTGGCACTGTGTGTCTTCACTAGCATTTACTACTAGTGGAGTTTTGTACTGTTTACCTCCTTGGTCGGTAGGAAGCAGTGATTTTAATATTCATGTTCCTCATCCTTAGACTGAAGGCTCTTTCTTTCCCATATGGGCTGTCTCCCAACAATTTCTATTAATATGGTATTTTTCACACACACACACACACACACACACACACACACACACACACACACACACAGTCCCTCTTTCTCTTTTTGTGTATTATGTGCTCATTATTTTGATAGTGATTTGAGATGCTGCTGAAAACGTTATTTTGCCTTGAAGCTCAGGCGCTCCTCACTTACTACCTCATTCAACATTTCACTTCTAGGGCAACAGTGAAAAACCTGCAGACAACTATTCTGTGCATTAACAACATACATCTGGCAGTAACCAATGCCAAGGCAAGGTGAGAGGAACGCTGATTATGATGCTTATAGCTATTGTGTCGACTTGACTGGCCCATGATTCTCAATTATTTGGCATTTATATAATGATTTAGCCATCCTCCATTTTGTGATGTCATGTGGTCATACTCTGACTTTAGTACAACGCTTGCTCTTTGAAACCTACATACTTATGTTCATTAAGTGAGGAGTGGGCGTATTTGAAACACCTCATTATCCATCGCTACCCAGATGATGATGATGCTGATGACTGTGTATTTCTAGGCTGAAGAGTTTTTATACTATATTTATATTTTACCTTCCTTATACAATTCAATCGAGTCAACCCCAACTTGGGAATAATTTAAGTGAATTTTACTCAAAAACTCTATAGCCTTTTTGATGTCCTAAAAGCAGAGCTAGCTCAATTTTCACGCTGTGATCCACGGTAAAGACTCCGCGCACCTGCACCACACACGTCTGTTTCTCCTTGTGTCCTCACACTTCACCCCAGCGTGTTGACTGTCCTATAAACCAGGGAGTTCCAAATCAAGTGTCATTTGAAAACCAAAAAATCAGATTAGATTACTAATTTAAAAAAATTATTTTGAACCATCACTGCTATAATTTTCCTACACAAATCTAAACAAGTAACACATTGAATTTGTAATAAGCCAAGTCAGAAACCTTTTACATTACATAGAGCATTATTGTATATTTCCTTGCTGTGTAACTTCAGAGGCCTTTCACCAGAAGAAATTAGTAGATTGGATGTAATACGTTACAACTTTGGTGTTATATACCACCACCTACAACTTACTAATTATAAACACTAACCATCGTTAGGTGCAAAGAAGTTTATTATGACTTATGCAAAGTAAGTTACATCACTCCAACGGTTCTGCAGCCTCACCTATCACAGTGCTCACTGGGAGAGGAGGTGGAAGTGCTGGTGCTGGGGGGCTTCAGAAGGAGGAAGGACAAAAATGTTTTCTAATAAAATAGTTTATAATTCAGGTCAGAGCGAAGCAGTAAGAAAGCACAATGTATGCAAAAGAAAAGAGACGCACATACGTAAAGCATGTTCGCTTAGATCTGCATGTAAACGAGGTCCGCACCTATGAGTACCTCTTCGTCCTTTTTCAATGGCATTCTGACGCTGTGTGGGGTTCTTTCCCTTACAGTGTTACTATCATACTTAATGTTTAAATTGATATTGAATAGTGCAAGAAGTCTCCATTTCATTAACTGGCAATCCAGGGCTCATTTAATATTCTAAAGAGTAAACAGGTTTCCCTCTTTAATCCCATGTGATTCTCACGGCATTTCACTAAAATACACATTGAATATGATACATAAAAGCCGTAAGATCACAGGAGAAGGTAACATCAGAAGTGAGATATCAGCCAAAAAGGCAACTCTTTGAAATATTACATATGTTTATATAGAGACACTGACCCTTTGGCTATAGCATCACACAATACTGGTTTGCTCTTGAAATTTAAAAAAAAATCAATCATTCTTGAACAGTACCCAAGATAAGTATTTCTCAAGTGTAATGCCAGGAAAGTTACTTACTATGCGTTCTACATCGAGAGAAGCGCCTGGTGAAATGCAAATGACCTCATGAAAACCAATGTAAAAAAAGAGTTTTCAATTTATTAGTAACCTCTATTCTAGTAAAAAAATCACATACATTTAATAAATGTTATCCAGCATAACTTTAAACTCTTTTAGCCTTCTACCAGAAAGCTCATAAATATTATTATCACATATTAGACATTAACGTTTAATGTACCTGGCCCAATAGTGGGTGGTGAAGGTGTAGGCACGGCAATGGGAATGCCAATACTGCTGCCGCCGCTGTTCTCCCTACTTCCACTCCCTCCACTGCTGCCACTGCAAAGAAACAACTATAGGTAAAAGCAACTCTCAAGATTTACCACAAAGGTGAACATAATCAACTGAAGGCCATCAAAACTTTTTATGCTGTGCACGTCTGCGTTTGTGCATGTGTGCGTGTAAGCAGAAATTCATAGTGCTGATTACAAATCTTGACTTGAATATCTAAAGTGACTCTTGCTTCATTCTAGTTCTCAATTTATATGAAACCAATGTAATCATAACACAAAACTCAGATGAAATCATCCTGAGAGAAGTATTTTAAAAACATTACCTATAAAATTGTATTGGGTAATGCATTACCAAAAAAATGTTATGGAACAGTCCACAGCTATTTATTCACAGCCCATGAACCACAGTGAACAAAGCAGACAGAATCCACATCGACATGGAGCACCTACAGGAGCACGGAAAAACAGACACTAGAAGAGGGTAATGGGTGCTATTAAAAAATAATAATGTACAAGAGCTATGGAAGGTAATTAAAAGGGATAGTAATACTAGCCTGAAATTAACATTTCCACTTACCATTAAAAAAGGTGATTAAAGGCAGGGAAATTTTCTGGAAAATTAATATAATCATATAAATGATCTCATAGCACTGTTACACAGTTGGGTAATCAATAAAGTCTGGAATAGTCACTACTGTTAATGACTAACCAACTTGCTACTCTTTTACTCCCCCTCTGGGTAGAACACCTTTCACTATCCAGTTATTTCAGGTAATCCGTGTACACACACATATGCTACATATTACGCTTTCAGTATCAACATCGTTAAGTTCAGAAATTCAATGGGGCAAAGAATTTTCAAGAGGCCATTCTGTGTAACTAGAGCATTGTAGATCGATGAATACTTTTTTGCACTTACTATGCTTCACTGTAATTATTTTTACAATTTTTTTTTAAACAAGTGTGGGAATCGGCGAACTATGGCCCATGAGCCAAATCTGGTAAGACTACACCAAACTTGTACAACCTGTAAACTAGTTTTCAGGGGTGTGGGATTTTTTTGTTTTTACAGTTTTAAATTTGGCGGGGGGTGTCCTATTTTGTGGCACATTAAAATGATATGAAATTCAAATTCCGTTATCCAAAAAGTTTTATTGGAACATAGCTATGCTTGTTCATTTATGATTTTTTTTATGACTGATAACCAAAACCAAGCTCCCTGCCATTGAGTTGTTTCTAACACAAAGGGATCCGATAAAACGGGGTAGAATGGGCCCTGTGAGTGTCTGAGACCCTAGCTCTTGCTAGGAATAGAAAGCCTTTGTCATTCTCAAACTGCTGGCCTTGTGGTTTGTAGCCCAATGGGTAACTAGTGTGCCACTCAGGCTGGTGCTCAAAAATGGAAATTATTCCTTTTGCAGGGAAGAAGACAGAAGGCAATGATTGAGAAAGGGCCCTGGATTGTTGATAACATTTCATGCTCTGATCTGGATAATGGTTACATGGATGTGTTCAATTTGCATTAACTCCATCAAGCTACAGACAAAATAAATGTATGCTATGCTCTATAACCAATCAGCAGGTACCTTCAAAGTAGTTGAGTTCTATAATTTAACAAAAATCTAATTATAAAATAGCTTCTATTCTATTCTGTCATTATTCTTCAGAGCTAAGCTAAACCTTTCCTGTAATGTTTCACATTGCATAATTTTGGTGGCATTTAATCTTTTATCCAAAAACATTTCAGTAGTTGTCTTGCTCTTGTTAAAAAAAAAAATTGTGGGGGCTCATTCAAAGATTTATCTGTTATCTCCGTCAAAAAACGTGCTCAGATGTAGAAATATCTAAAACATAGAAGTTACAGCAAAAACTTATAGGCTCTCTATATTATTGTCCTCCCTTTTATATTCTCTATCAGTAATTGAGAAGTACTTTACCTTTACTTAGCACCCGTGTTGGAAGAGTAAATCACCTCCACTCTCAGGTGTTCACATTCTCAAGCCCAAGGTTTACCTGTGTGTCCTCGGTCTCTGATTTAAAGAAGCTGTCCTGCCTGGACTATGCTGACTTCCAAGCCTAGCAGGACTCGTCATGTAGTCATTAGGGACTGTTGGGGGTTTAACAGGTTCCAAGGTTTTGTAAGGAGTATTCCGTCTAAAGGAGCATAATAGAAAAAGGAATAACGGATAAGAGAAGTACGAGTGGTATTTCCCCCCTCAAATCTGTGATTCTTTCTTTGTGACCCAATGCAACACAGCAAATAATAATTATAAGCTAAAATCATAAAAAGGTTAAAGTGCAAGTTTTAAGTGAGATCTACTGATTTTGTTATTTTCAAACAAAAACTAAAGTGTGTTACTTTTTTTAGGGTAATTTAAAGTTCCAACCTTAAATTTCTAAAAATAATGCTATCATTTAAATGCTTGAAAATATCAAACGTTGAAATACACGTTATTCCCAGTTCGGTCAGCCATAAACTACTCAGTCACCCAAAAGAGAAATAATCTACTCTGATTTGTCCCTACCTCAACCTGGAAGTATAAAACAAATGCATTTTGATCCGAGGTATGATGCCATTACATTCTCAAGAAATGATTTGTACTTTTCTGCTTAATACCTTCACATACTTTCTCAGGGGTGGAGGAATTCACAAAATGAAAAAGACAACTAAGATCCTCCAAAAATTGTATTATTGGTCCTTGTAGGTACCCCTCCACCAAAAATAAGAAATTTTCTCTGTTAAGGGGAACCACTTTTCAGAAATATCTTATTAGCGTAGGAATTGGGAAGGAAGAAACCACCAACTGTTACCTTTTCTACTTCTCCAATTGGCCTTTCCACAAAGCCACTCTAGCATGAAGGGGCCTAAGCCTACAAGCAGAAGCACAGTTAGAAGCACTCCAGGTAAAAGTCCTTAAATCTCAGGAGCCAAGTAACAGAGAAAACAGAAGAGCTGCAGGCTACCAAACCAAACTACATAAAGCAGACCACTTACTCAATGTTCTACAGCACAAATACTGTAAACACACATGAAGGGACCACATGAATCCTCTGGTCAAACCATCTGAACAAGCTGAAGTCAGACTTATATTTCAAAAAATGAATTGGGAGACAAAAAAGTGAACAATGCTCTTTTTACAAAATACATAAAAGGACTTTCTAGCATAGACTTCTACAGAGAATACTATAAAACAGGCAGATTCATTTTGGATTCTGTTCAGGGAAAATAAGAACCAAAATGAATTTATAAAAGATAAGTGTCACATAGAGAGGGTCCCAAGGCAAAGATCCACACATTTACTTAAGTCCCCAAAATACCGTTTCTTTTAACATAAAAAAATGTTGTTGAGTTCTTACCCCAATGTTCCCCGGCCTGACATAGGAGGACTTGGTGGTTTCTGAGTAGGAGGATTTGTTCTCGACAGTGTGCCAGTTCTTGCAGGCTGGCTATTTCCATGCTAAAATGTGGAAAGAAAGGCTTTTATTTTTACACCAAATTGTTCTCTTGGTGTATTGACACTGTGTATTATTATTATTTAATATCAGAATGTGAAGTGAGGATTCCCAGACAGTTTTCATGCAGACTTTAGTACCACCTTTTTAAACGTAAAGAAAGCATTTGCATTGAGCTGTCCTAATTATTTTGTGTCATTTACGGCAAAATATATAGGTGAGATTACTGGGTTTTATGTATTACTTTATTGTGAACTTTACACAAATTAACTGAAATCAAAATTAACAGGTCTCCTAAAATGTTGGGGAGGACAATCCAAACCCTTTGCCATTGAGCTGATTTCGACTTAAAGCAACCTACCCCATGTGTTACAGAGTAGAACTGCTCCATCGGGTTTTCTCGGCTGTAACCTTTATCAAAGGAGATTGTCAGCACTTGCTTCAGCACTATCACTGGGTGGGTCTGAACTGACACCTTTTGATTGTTGTCTAACACAAACCATTTGTTGTCTCCCAGGGAGCAGAAACATTGTTGGCAAGGTGCATATCTAAACCACAGATCAGACAGTACCAGTTTAAATATCCACCTGAAAGATCATCTTTCCTCTGATAAGTGAGTAGCAAAGTCACATATGTCTGGGAAACCTCCCAATTGTAAGTCAATAAAAAGCAAGGCAACTATGAAAAAAAAAAAAGAGTGAAGCAATAAATGTTAGCGAAATTAATGTTCCTATATCAATGCAGATGTCAATATATCCTTGATATATTAACACATCCAAGGCGGAATGTTGCTAATTTGAACTGAGTTTCAGTATATTTAATCTATATAAATCCTATGAGGAAAAAGCAGACAGACATACGAGGAGTTTTCAATTTTAGTAACTCTGCAGCCTCTATCAATATAGAGGAAACACTGGATCAAAGGATAAATGATGTCTCTTACCTTGGCTTTTAGCCACTTTACGTTGGCAAAAAAAGGGGGGAAAAGTAGAAATTAATTCTAAATAAATTATATCTGATAGGATAGGTTTACATTTCTAATAATTAAATTCATATTAAGGTTTATTTACTGAGCCATATTTCAATTTTGTTAAGAAAAAGATCAACATAAACAGTGGAGAAGTATTTATATGTTTCACATATTTTTAAGATACATTCAAAAGGAAACCACCAGTTAAGTTAAATAAGCCACAACACAGGCCTAACTATTTCTTTGATTAGTATTTTATCTATGGAATGATTTTGATTGAATTAGATATTTTTAATGTGGTTTAATTTAAGCAAAGACACCATTATAACACTTTAGACATAGTATTCTAACACCTTAGCATACAAGACGCTACAACAGCCACCACTGCTATCAAGTTGCTTTCGACTCAAAGCAACCCTACATGGGGTTCCCAAGGCTGTGAATCATTACAGAAGCAGACAGCCTTATCTTGTCCCCACAAAGTAGCTGGTGGGCTCAACTGCCACCCTTGCAGTTGGCACTCCAATGTTCACCGCCAGGGCTCCTTAGACTTTACTAAATCATGCAGGCCTAAAGATGAGTATCCATTACTTCAATGGTAGTATACCTAGCTACTCACTTACTTAACTATCTCGTTACCTGACATTTCACATTGACACAACAGTAAAGAATCTGCTATGCAAAAATTTTACAAGCTACACACGCACAACGACCAAAGTCGAGGTGAGAGGGATACGTGGTAAAGTTGTGCATCAACTGGGCTAACCCCAAGGTTCTCAGTGGTTTGGCAGTTATGGAACGATGTGTTTGGGCAGTTATAGACTAATGAACTGTAAATAGTACAATGAAAAATCAGAGGTTGCTTCCAGATTCAGAAAAAGACCTACCACTTTGATATTTAAAAACAAACGCACCACATATAGTAATACCTTAACTGGACTTTGACTAAGGAATAAATCAACAGGGTCTAGAAAAATGCTTCCCTGTGAGCTTATGAACCCAAATCTTTAACATGCCAATTTGAGGCTAGAGACCACTTTAGCTCCCAGAGTTGCTTTAACCCATTGAGTACGGATTCATAAGCTTAAATGCTACTTCTATGAAAGATAACTAGTTGATACACAAAAAATAATGGGTATAATTCTAATGCATCACTTGTATCATTATCTCATTGCTGTCAAGTTGTTTTTAATCCAGGATGACCCTATGAGTGTAAATATAACTGCAGAACACCAGGCCTTTCTTCTGGGACACATCTGGGTCAATGTGAGCGGCTAACCTGTAATTTATGAGTCAAACGCTGACGCAGGCAAAAGCACCATCCACGCACTTACACAGTACCACTCAAAAAATCAAAAACAAAAAAAAACTTCAGGTTTTATAGTTAAAGGTCTTTATAAAGATTTTTTGAGTTTCAGATACTTTACATGACACCCGTCATTCTAAATATGCTATGTATCATGTTATGAGTGACCATAAAAGCAACATTAAGGAGTAATCCAAAAGAGTAATTTATTTTACCTTACATGTATTTTCATTTCTAAAAAATCATACCACAATTTTTATATTTTCATTTTTATGTAGCACTACTTTACTAATCTGTATCTGAAAATAGTATGAGATCCTACGTAACTTCTAGTTTCACACTTGTATTTTTTAAAACTAAAAAAGAATACAATTACAAGAATCCTTAAAGATATGCTATACTAATGTAATAAGCATTATAATACACTGAGCACTATTTCACAGTAACTTAGAAAATAGAAAATATTGTAAATGCTACCAAATATTTCCTCTCAACTGTTGTTTTATATGAACAAGAACGGATAAATATATCTTTTAAATAGACATAAAACCTAGCATTTACTTATCAGTTTGTCCCAAATGACAGACTGAAAATAGACCACATAGGAATGAAATTTCTAGTTGAACTCTGCTGCTATGTAATGGTGTGACCTTTCACCTGCTGATCAGTTCAATTTCTCCCTCTACTAAGTTTCTGTTTGTGTATTACAAGAGTGTGGTACAGTGCATTAGAAGGAAACTATCTCTGTATCTTACAGATCAAAATATTATCATTTTAAGAATTTATAAAATGTTCCCACCTAATTATCCTGAAAGCATGTGACTTCAGTCTCACATCTCTTCTTTAGCATTTAGGTTGATGAATGAGTAATTTTAGCATTCCCCTACAATCTTATATACGAAAACAATAGAATTATCTTTGATTCCTCCTTATTTTCTGTCTTCATGTAGATTATAAGCTTTGTGAACCAGAGACTACTACATGCTTGTTATCTAATTCAAAGGCCAATTTTTTTAAATATTGATTGGTCCACTCTGTTTAATAGAAAGCTGTTTGTAAAAATCAGTTCATATGTGGTCTCTATCCTAAACTATCATCTGCATTAGGAAAACATAAGAACTCCGAGATCATCTTGTCTTTCAGGGCAGTGAAGTAAGCACACGCAGACATGTAATACAAAGTTCCTTTGTAAATTATGAGCAAAGCTATAAAGCTGTTTATTATTATTACTAATCAAAAGTAAATTTAAGCTTCCCTGCTACATAGCTGAGTCTTTTCTAGTCTATGATTACTATGAAATTTTAAGCAAAATTTCTTATAAAATTCATTTTTCTATTCCCTATTAAGTATATGTTCTGAAATTCTCTCTGTCCCAGAATTCTTTTATCTTATTTTACATTGTTTCCCCCCAAACAAACCAAACTTCCTTAGGATATTTTTTCCATATTTTTAACACTACTTATGAAGTTTATGCACATTACCTTTTTGTAGCATGAAATATATCAGCACAGTAAATACTATTTAAATGAAATTCAGATATAGCAAATATAAACACATTGAAAATTACATAAGGAAGAAAATTGGACTATTAATCTTAGACTGTGAAAAATTCAAACATAAAGTTCAAGCTTTATATAGAATATCACAACATGAGTGTATAGGAGATACCGAATGCCAATGGTCAGTGTGGTCAGCTGTCCGGCTCCTCTCAAGAAAGCAAAAAAAATATGCAGAGTGGAACAGATCCAGTGGTATAACCATTAAGGTAACAAGTTAGGATAAACCAAGATTCTAACTGGCCTCTTAAAAATTATTTTTAAATATTCTACAGGCCAAAGGTAAAATCAAATAATGGTCTTCTAGAAAGTTAACTACCCATATCAGAGAACAACTTTATCCTGAGCACAGACAGTTGAAGAATCCAGGTCATTCCATTCCAATACTTAAAAAATGATGCAGAAAAAAAAGATCCATAGCTACCAAGATGACTACAAGTATCTTTCAAGACCCCCTAAATTGGACCATTCTAAGAAACATACAGGGGAACAAATAATCCTTCTCCTAAATGTCTGCTGCTTGGGAGTGCAAAGAGCAAAGCTACATAAACTTCCCATTTTATAACACCCCCCCACACACATACATTTAAGAATAAAAGTATTAAAAAACTATAATCTCCTACACAAATTCTAAAAATATGTACATTTTTTCTTTTACTTTTAATACTCATTCAACAGTGAAAGCAAGAGATGTATCAAGACACAAATTTAACACTAGTCTAGGATTCCAATGGGATTATCTCATATATATCTATTTACATATCCATGCTTCCTTGAATATAGTCCAGTCTGCAGATAAAGTTCCCAACCTTGTAAAACAAAGCCAATAGTTCTTAAAGTTCTATGACAATTATAATGCTATAGGTGCTGCTAATGAGAAGCTTCATCACTGTACTTCCTATGCAAAATAATTGTTTGATATGCAAATTAATTCAATTAATGTGATATAGGAATGCTTACCTTGACACCATGGCCCACATCATCTAGAACTGTGTAGTCGATAGGTTTCCGAATATACCTGACAGGGCGTTCCATATTTGCAGGTGCTATTATTTTGTGCGTTCTTGATGTATTCTTATTTGTTGTCAAAATACCAATCTCTCTTCGAGCCACTTTCTCTTTATGAATGTCCACAGTCTGTATTTTAAATTTGAACAATGTAAGAATATATTACCTTACGTAATAAATAATATATATGATGTTGGCACTAGGTTGGACTACTACACCACATGAGTATCTTCCAGTGAATACTCTTGTCTTTCCTTTCAAAGATAAGCAAATTATCCTCAAGGCTCAGAGGAGAGGATAGCTAAAGGTAATTAAAGGCACCAACTAATTTAATGGATTTGATTTTGAAACAATTCACAATTCTCAGGGTGCAATTTTCTTTCCTAAAGCTTTGGGGGACGGGGTGTGAGGCAGCTTAACTAAAACTGTCTTGCTCTGCTGAAGATCTTACGTTTTACTTGGTGGAGATAAAGAACAGACATAAATTAGTAATTGTGGCTCAAAAATTAAGAGCTATAGTCACATGTTAAGCTTATTTATAAATATTATAAAACTAGGGTATCTTAAAAAGTTATAGATAACATGGTAAAGAATTTTAGAAGACGTAACTGTGCTCATGTGGAACCTGTACATAGACCAAAAGCCAGTTGTTCAAACAGAACAATAAGGTACTGAATGGTTTAATATCAGGAAAGATGTGTTAGGGTTATATCCTTTTACAATACTTATTCAATCTTTATGCTGAGCATATAATCCACGAAGCTGGATTATTCAAAGAAGAATGCAGCATCGGGAGTGGAAGAAGATTCAACAACCAAAAATTTGCGAATGACACAACCTGGCTTTCTTCTAATGAAGAGGGCTTGAGACAACAAAGATCGGCATGGATTATACCCCAACATAAAGAACACAAAAATCCTCACAACTGGAACAATAAGCAAGATAAAATTGAGCCAATATCGTCAAGGATTTCATTTTATTTGGATCCAGTCAATGTCCATGGATGTAACAGTCAAGAAAGCAAGAGGTATCGCATTGAGCAAATCTGCAGCAAGTTATTTCTTTAAAGTGTTAAAAAGCAAAGATATCACTCTGAAGATTAAGGTGGACCTGACCCAAGTCTTGGTATTTTCGATCACCTTCTATGCATGTGAAAGCAAGGCAATGAATAAATAAGATTAGAGATGGAATGATGTGTTTGAATTACGGTGACGGAAAAGAACACCAAATACACCACAGATTACTTGAATTAAAAATAAATCTCTTGGAGGGAGGATGATAAGACTTCATCTCACCTACCCTAAGCATGTTATCATGAGGGACCAGTCCCTAGAGCAGGACACCATGCTTGGTGAAGCAGAAGGTCAGTGAAAAAGGCGGCTGAATGACGGTGGCTCTAAGTATGGGCTGGGCTCCAACCCAACCATTGCTGTGAGGAAGGCACAAGATACGGCAATGTTTCACTCTGATGGACACAACCAGGGTCGCTCTGATCAGAACCTACCGGACAGCACCTACAATAGCAGCAACATAAACAGTTCGCAGCATGACAACTAACTTGTCTTTGCAGAGTAGATAGGATTCAAGAAGAGTCGTAATGTAAGAGGCAAATACGGAGATTATTCAAGGCAGAAAAACTGCACAGGTAGGCAAACGAGTAAGAGAGAGTTATAAGCAAGGGCAGAGGTTACAAACTGACAACAGCAGCCTGCAAACTTGTCTTGCAGTCTACTTAGTACCAGCCTATGCAGTGCTGTGTCTCTCTGTGTTTGAATATTTCTAATTGTCTCGACATTTCAAATTGGATGTTGCAAATGGTTGAGACATACCCGTTACCAAGAAATCAACAAGCATTTCACTGAGCAAGTCCACTGCACAAGACCTCTTTAACGTAGCAGAGAGCAAAGATGTCACTCTGCGGCTTAGGGTACACCGACTGAAGCCATGCTATTTCCAACTGTTCCCAGGTGGTGACAGTTGAGAAAGGAATACGGATGATCGCGGAAGCATCGATGCATTTGAATTATGGTGTTGGATAACAGTCTGGCAATCTACATCCATAAAGATTATTGTCAAGGAAGCCCTAAGGGGCCCTTCTTCTCTGTTAACATGTGGTTTCTGTGAATCAGAAGCAAGTCAATGGCACCCAATAGTAGTTAACATGAGAGAATTACACAGCAATTGTTGGACAGTTTTGCGTGTGTATATAGATCACAAATTCAATATTTTATTTCATTCTTTTTTTTTCTTCTTTTAAAAATCATTTTATTGGGGGCTCATACAACTCTTATCACAATCCATACATCCATCCATTGTGTCAAGC